GGAAAATATTGTCTACTATTTGCTAGGCACTGGTTGGACAATTTATGAGCCCAAGTAATCCTTCGTGAGGTAGGCATCCTTTTATTTTGGATGATTAAATTATGACTAGAAAGCTCAATCAATTGTCCTAAAGTTCACACAACTAGCAAACAGTTCAAACCCAGGTTTGTTTCTAAAGCATATGCCTTTTTCACTATACAACATAAAGAAAATTTTATTCATCTTTTCACCCCAGATTATAATGTTTCAGGATTTCCCACTTGTTACATGATTTTTTTGGGTGTATAAAAGCAAGTTTGTAACACTGTAAATCAACTATACTTAAATAAAAATTAAATTAAATTTAAAAAATAACAAAAAACAAGTGCATGATGACATCTCATGAAAAGACATGGAGGAAACAAATGCATATTACTAAGTGAAAGAAGTCAACATGAAATGGCTAAATACTGTATGATTTCAACTATAGGACATACTGGAAAATGAAGACAGTAAAATATCAGTGGCTGTCAAGGGTTAAGGGAGAAGGAACTATGAATAGGTGACACACAAATTTTTAGGGCAGTGAAACTCTATATGACACTATAATGGTGAATACAAGACATTATACATTTGCCCAAAACCATAAAATTTACAACACCAAGAGTGAACTCTATGGTAAACTATGGACTTTGGATGACAATGTGTTAATGTAGGCTCATCAGCTGTAACCAATGTACCTCTCTAGTAGGGGTGGGATACTGATAATGCGGTAAGGTTACGCATGTGTGGGGGTAGAGAGTATGTGGGAAATCTCTGTACCTTCCTCTCTAAATTTTGCAGTGAATACGAAACTTCTCTAAAAAATAGTTTATTTAAAAACAAGCACAGGGAAGAAGAGCAAATGGGGAATGGATGTAATATGAGAAAAGGCTAAGGAAAAATAATGTTTCCAAAGGAATTTAACTACTTGTCTGTCTACCTAGTATTACAGAGTGAAAAGCACCAAGACTAGGTCAGACAACTTGTGCTGACGCGCTGCTTGCTCACAAGCTGCTGGGTGACCTTCAGCAAACTTACCTCATCTTTCTGGATCTCAATTCAGATATGCTTAAAATGAGGCAGTAGAGTTGATCCCTAAATTGCCCTAGGGTCCTAAAACTTCAGCCTTGCAGCGAAGGACCCATCCCTACCTTTTTCTTCTTTCAACCCAGACCAACCTGAAACTTGTTCTTAACGCTACTGCATACTTTCTGACGGACCCACTGGGTCCTAAAACACAACAACCGTTTCCCATGACCGTGAGACTAAAGGGCAAGGGTGGAGGACTGAACTCTGAGGGGAAAAAAAAAGTGCAAGAAAACCCAGAAGTTGGACAGTGACGCGTACTAACCTGCAGAAGAAAGACTAGGCGAGGCAATGCTGACGCTTTGCAGCGACGGCGGAAGCGGGAGGAGGGTGGGGCCGAGAGCCGATTGGATGGCTGAGGGGGCGGGGCCTGCGCTGACAGTCTTGGGGAGGAGTGAGGAAGGCTGCGCCGGCGTCTCTTGCCGGTTTCCGTCCTTTGGCTTCCCCTCCCCAGTGCCTGGAGGGCGGGGCGTTGGGTGTGCCGACGCCGTGTGACGTCACAAGGGGCGGGGCGGCTGGGAGGGGTCCAGCCGGCGCGCGGGCGCGTTCCGCAGTCGCTGTTTGGGACGCTGGGTTCGTGGTTGCTGGTTCTGTGCTCCGGGTTTGCTGTCACAGCCTGTTCCTTCCTGGAGCCCGGGACAGACAGGGCACGCGCCCGTGTGTGTGTCTGTGTGTGAGCGGGACTCAAGGGCGGAGGCGTCCTCTCGCTGCATTTTTTTTCTTTTAGCCAAAAAAGGGGGCAGTTCTCACGCTTGCCTTCCTGTCGCCCTATTGGGAGTGGGGTTGGTGTGCGGAGTTGTTCGTCTTTTTTTCTTTTAAACTTGTGAGCGCTCCCCCCCCCCTTTTTTTCGGCTCAGTGCTCTCTGGGCTGGTTTCCTCGGTCCCTGACTAACCGCTTTCTGCCCCATCTCTCGCCACCCCAGCCCAAGGTCGCCCATCCGCCCTCGCCCCTGGTCCGGGTGGGTGGGAAGCTTTGTCCCGCTCCCTGCCCACTCGAGTCTCCGCATCGTAGCCGCACCTGCCTCAATATGAACGGGGTTAACGACCCCCCTCTTTTTATAAAAGATATTAAGCCCGGACTGAAAAACTTAAATGTCGTCTTTATTGTCCTGGAGATAGGTAAGTGGGGTCCGCAGCCGCTCCGCCGCCCCCTGTGCTTCACGGGGCCGGAGGGAAGGGTGCTGCCGCCGCGAGCCGGGGGCTCCCCTCCCCCTCCCCTCCCTTCTCTTTCCCCTCCCCCACCCACGTGGCCCCGTTGGCCCCAGCCGGGGCTTCAGTCCTACCTGCAGCGAGAACCTGGGGCTAGACCTCTTCCCACCTTTCAGGTGCATTGTGATCCTGGAGGAGGAGTTAGCTTTTTGGAAATCCTCATTTTCTAATATACCCCTCCCCCTTTTGATTTTTAAATCTTCACAGGACGCGTGACCAAAACCAAAGACGGCCATGAAGTGAGATCATGCAAAGTAGCAGATAAAACGGGCAGCATCACTATTTCCGTGTGGGATGAAATCGGAGGTCTTATACAGCCAGGGGATATTATTCGGTTGACCAGAGGGTAGGTGTGCATAAAAGGGTTGGGGGGGGGGTGAGAGCGCCTTCTAAGTAGGAGTCTGCGGAATTGACTGATGCCGGGGACCTTGGCAAGTTCTGAAGTTCCGCGTCTTTTCAGTGGGCTACTCCAAGGAGTTTGAGCCCCTGAATGTGGCTCAGATGTTGGACACCGTTGGGCTGTAATACCCTTCCCTTTAAAAAGCAGTCAGTTTCAGCCGAGAATCTAACCCCCACCCACAAGTCCCTCTTTACAGATTAAGTAGATTTTTAAAACACTTTTCTGAGATTACTCAATCTTTTTAGTAGACTAAGTTAAGATTAACATCATCAATATGTTCTCTTTTTCGTAAATTAATTTAATATAGTTATCATTTAGTTTTTTTCCTCCAACCCTTTCCCCTTTTTCATGACCTTTGAAATCCTGATAGTATTTTATTTGTACTCATTTAGACAGTGTGGACGTAAATTAAGGTTGTAATTGGAGAATTTAGCAGTTTTGTGGTGTCAGATTTGTACTGGGTTGTAAAAGTTAAGAGGGCAAGTTTACGATATCTGGAAGCCACATTCTCGAAAATGACTTTTTGTGCCCACTGCTGTAAGGTCAGTGTTGTACACAACCCAAAATGATACGCAGAAAATGTTTGGCAGAAGGATGTCTATGATACCTCTGTCCAAAAGAGTTAGTTGACAGATTGGCTTTCAAAAACAAACTTTTTTTTTAGTTAGTAGACTGCCTTTAAAGGCAAATCTTTATCTTAGGAAGATGAAATGCCAGAAAGGGGTCTTAAAAATAGATTTTGGAAGCTTTGTGATCAATAGAATTGTAATAATTTATTGATTATAACTATAGGAAAGGTGGGTGGAGACTGATGTTGGCATAGTAAACAGAATCTCAGAGAAGTGCTGGATCACCTTAAAAGTAGGAGCTTAGAGCCCTTTTGTATCTGACAAGTCTTACAACATCTTCAGGAAGTGAGGCGCAGAGTATTATCAAAGAAGGAAGTGAGAGTCAGGACTTAGACATTTTATTCTCATACACTGACTCATTATGACACCAGTTGTGTCTTTCAAACTTCCATATCTTTGACTAGGACAAAAGAGAATTCCTACCTGGGTGGGTATGGTGAAAACTAGCATAATCAAAGTTCTTTGGCTGCCAAAGTATTTCATCCAGTGATTAAAAGTATTTTATACAGCATCACATTTCAATTATTTCATAGTTTGTAGTCACAAAAAATATATAGATGTGTCCATCAAAAAAATTGTGGAAAAACTAAGTTCAGTAGCCATGCAGTGTATATAGGGTTTTAAGGAGTATAGTTACCAAAGAAAACCAAAGAAACTGTTTTCTAACATCAGTGTGACCTTGAAGTTATTACATTTTATCAACTTCCTTTTCTGTAAAATGGGAATAATTATACCTTACTTACTAAAGTAACACATCCAGCAGAGTCTGGTCCATTGTAAGGCCCTTTAATTCTGATTTAATCTAAGAAAAATCACTTGAAGAAAGGCATACATCTCAATAATGGTAATTTGAATATTGACGTGTTTATGAGAAAACGCTGCAAACACTGATCTCATTCCGGAAATAAGTGAAAGTTAAATGTTTTAGTTACAGTAACTTTAAATTTTCTCTCAAAATAAGCATAAATTTTTACTTTAGGAAGGTGAAATATTAGTGCACTGACTCCTAAGTCACTTTTTGTATAATTTAAAAGTGGTCATTGGAGTCTTTAATAAATAACCCTTACTGAATGAAGAGAAATATATAACATGGAACTAGCAAATTTTTATTAATCTGTGTTAAAAGATGAACTATACCTAAGTTAAGCAATATTTGGTTATAATTTATCATTCTAAATCATGCCGTTACCATAGTAGTTGTACAAAAACCACTGAAAACCAAGCCTTGGGCTTATTTTATAATATTGATTAACTTACATTTTTCTTAGATTTGTGTGTAGAATTATTTTATCTAATGATGCTGTCTGCATTCAGAATGGTTTAGAGTAAATAATAGTTTAGCCAAGTTGGTGCTAAAAATTGTCAATTTGGAAAAGCAGGTAGGTAAAGATTTGTGATCTTAATTTTTTAGCCCATTGATTAAATTTTACTAAATTTTCAGTAGCTTAGGAACAACACATACTAGCCTATGTTGTTTTATGGAGGCAGGGGAAAAACCGTATATCAGTACTGATAAACCAAGCAAATGAGTGTGAAAGTAAACACTATGGTGTAAATTTTATATGTCCTTTGACTAAAAAGTAAATTCTGCTTCATCCTCTGCAATTTCAAAGTTCTCCCTTTGTTAATTGACTAAAGATGTGATCTTTGGAGAAAACAATGCTTGCTCTGCAGAAAGACTTCTATTTTCTAGAGTTATTTATTGTTTAGATAGTTATGTCAAAATTTGGCAGTAGAACTTTCTTTGTATTATTCCTTAGTAAGTAACAAGTTAATCAAAAATTAGCTTAATTGTATTTGATTTACTATGTAGACACACAGTTTGATCCCCACCTGCACCCGAATACAGAAAATACAGTATAAAGATTTACTTGATTTAAGTAGAAGGGAATATACGTATTTCCAAAGAACTGATGTTTCTTTTCTTTCTAGGTATGCATCCATGTGGAAAGGATGTCTGACGCTTTATACTGGAAGGGGTGGAGAACTTCAAAAAATTGGGGAGTAAGTATTAAGATGCATTTCATGTAATTGAATAAATTACAAACTATATCTACAGAATAACTCGTAGGTATCAACTATAAACATCTTCCTTGGCTTTTTTTGGCTGGTAAACTGAATGCCTGCAGCAGGTTAACTATAAAAATAACTGCATATATGTGCTAGTTTAACAGCTGTCAATACCGTTCCCTATGGTTGAGAATGTCAGTTTTTCCTGGCAAAGGGCATTAAGAAACTGCCCTTGAGACATTCCCTAGGACCATTTCTGTAGGCTTTGGGAATGTGTATCTTTCAGGCATCACAACTGCCATTTGAAGTAAGTTCTGTCTTCAGGTGAATTGCCAAATAAGAAGCTGTGTATGGATTTTAAGCCATACATTTAATTTTTCTTTTTCTCTGTTTATGGGTGAATATGTACCCATCTGTAAAAGGACTTGCAGCAATGACAGTTGAAGTCCTTTATTTATCTACAGTCTACGGGCCTTACAGGCAGCTGCAATGGACGCTTCCTTAAACCACTGGTAATCTCTACCCTGGGGGATCCATCCTCTGTAAGCCTCCATTCAGGTCTAGATGTTTGGGATGTTCTCATAAAGTGTGGTGTAGGCAACGAGAAATCATAAAGTTCATCCTGTTTGGTTAATGCCTAAGACATCTACTTAATGCCTGTCAAAATAGAGGAGAAAGAAGGGAGGGAGGGAGGAAGGAAAGGAAGGAAGAAAGAAAGGAAGAAAGAAAGAAAGAATCTCTTATACTGCAAGGATAAGATATGTGGGGAAAATACACAATCTTGCTAGCTTTCAAAGATCAGAAACTGGTAACACTGCCTTTGCTAGAAGGAAAACTAGGACTCAACTTATGTTCATATTTAGAACAGTCTTAGAGCAATGTGTTATGAGAGATCTTAGCATCAATGTTACAGAAAGATTTAGGATCCTGTGCCGATCTTGTAGAGAAGTGTTTGTAATAATGGAGGTTGGTTATGTGAAGAACCACTGGAGGTTACTCAACACTTAGTGACTTTATCAAAGTTAGTTTAGGATTTACCAAAACTGGTTGTAATTTATTTGTGGGGTCAGAAGCTAAGAAAATGCTTATGGTTAATGTTAATTAATATACACCATAGTCAGCTGATGAGAAGCATTAGGATAAACAGTTGCCTTGATAGCCAGTTGTTTTTATTCATGCCTGCAGCATCCACTTTTAACCTTGAATGATTATCTTTGCAGATTCACAGTGATTGGTCAAAGAGGGACTGGA